TATATATATTTATATATATATAACAATTCTGTAACTGTAACTTCGGTCGTTGCTGTGCTTTTTTTGGAAATCGAATTTCCCAGAGGAACCCACCCGAGGGATTAATAAAGTTCTATCTTATCTTATCTTATCTCTCTTATCTCTTTTCTTTAATTAATAAATATTTGTAATATGTAGTCTGGATTTTCACAATGAGTCCTTTGTCTCGTCTCCCTCCGCTCACCCCCAACCAGACACAGTAGTCGTCTGCCTTTTCCTGAGCCATGTTCATTTCGGTTGTTCATGTTAAGAATGGCTTTTTCACACACATTTCAACATAACATTAGTACTGATACAAAAGTGGTTCTCTTCTGACACTGAGTGAAAAAACACAGAAATGATGAGGATGGAAAAAATGTCCTCCACGTGTAAAACCATACCTGTTTGGGGGTTTCTCATTGTTGCCCCTTTAATGCAGTTACCAAATCAACATCCCAGATGTTTAACTGACTTGATGCTATTCTCTGATCTAAAAAGTATTCCTTATATTTTTGTGTCTGAGATTTGATTTAAACTATATTAATAGCATTTAAATTCATGCATGAATGCGTATTTATTGAACAGGATCCATACCTGTATCCCTCACAGACAGAGGGAGTCTCACAATCTCTTTCCTGGGTCAGTACCTCAGGGCAGTCCTGTCCTCCGTTAGCTGGCAACTGGATGATGAGCCGTTTCCTGTATTGCTTCTTTTTAGTGTTACCGCCTAGGGGAAGCCACAAGAGAACACACTGATCCTTTAAACTGAAGTTACCAATATGCCCTGAATCTTTAAAGCTGTTTTTTAAAGATAGGATGTATTTGGTGTCCTCTGAGAATATTTATTATTAGCCTACCTAGCATACTTATGTCATTCCTCACCCTGTACAAGAAGACAGCATTTCAAGGAGAGGCTAATATAATTGAGTGAAATCTCAAATGTCATCTCCATTATCTGCTCTATGGTATCCAATACAACCTGACAGTTAGAGATAATTGACTTTACAGGAAGTCCACTTCTATCAGGATTACTATATCAGGTTAAAGCTTCCAGTGATTGAGTTTGGATAATTTATTAAGGATGAAAATGGTTTTGGGATGCATTGCAGCTGGACTATTACTTCTAAAAGTAAGCATCTTATAAGCCTAATGCACACTTCAATGTGACCGAAGGATCTGAGAATGTAACAAACAACAAAGATGTCTCTGGAACATTCACTCTATTAAAGCTTGTATAAGAGAGATGAAAGACACATTGTAATTGTGTGCAGATTGAATGAAATAGAGTGACTCATTTGTTTGGCTTCTGGTTTTCCATATTTACATGGAAACGTGTTCCTTTATATTGTAGAATCTTTACCTTGCAATATAAGGTAAAGACTCTTCAATATAAAGCACCTTGAGGGGACTGATGTTGTGATTTGATGCTTTATAAATAAAACTGAACTGAATTGAATTCAAGCAGCTGCTACATCAGAAGTGTCAGCCTCCACCGAAATAGCCCTCACTATTGCTATACAATCCTTTTTCATCATACCTTAGCTTAAAAAGAACAAAAACAACAATAACTGGACCGTCAAACGTCTTCTCCCACATTGCTTGCCATCTCCACTAGGTAACATCCTTGGGGAACTAACCCTGGGAACCTTTGTTGGAAACACTGCATTTCCATGGCATTTATTAAACATGTCACAACATTCACAAGAGAACTGGGATATCTGATATTCCTTTTCAGTGAAGAGGCTGCTGCTATTATTTATCTGCTACAGCTAAAATAATGATTTGCATATTTTCTGTGCTTTATTATTGGGGTGCCTGCTTTACACACACACATTCTAGCTGTTTGTGGCCTTTCTAACATTGTTAGAAGCATTAATGTGTGCATTGAGTCTACCTGTCTGACACGTTGATGGACAGGGGCTCCAATCACTGTATGGGGTGACAATACAGTCTCTCTTGCATGGCAGCAAACATGGCCTGACAGTGTCTGGACGAACACTCTCCGGACACCTGAAAGTACATCACTGACATGTCACACACACACAGAGTACCCTTGAAAATCTGATAGAGCCGCAGTGAACACACTGCACTGTAAAAACAAATTCCATGAAGTTTTATAACATGTTTCTAAAATGTCTACTTAAAATATTAATAAAATTTGTGGAATAACATGACAAATGTAAAAATGTCCCCCTTGATGATAACAGTTAATTGCGTATCGTTTTTTGCTGGATAACATCCTGCAGAAGTCTCACACATGTCTCCAGAGCAATCCCAGCTCATTCTTCTTTGACGAATCTCCTCCAGATTTGATCGTCTTCGGCACGGACCTCGGTCTTCAGTTCACAAACATTCAACAGGATGAAATCATGACTTTGGGCCTCATCAGTAAAGTTCACTTTAGTCTTATGGAGGCAGCGCTTAAAATCTTTTGCTTCTTACCTCTACCAGTCTTATTCTGATGATACTTCTTACTCCACTATGCTCTCTAAGAATCAAAACTTCTGTTTCTCAAGTCTAAACTGATGTTTTTGGCGTGATGCTTTCTCAACTGACAGCTAAAGTTTTTTGTGTATGTGTACATTGGAAGATAGAACAGAAATATTTCTTATTGCAAACTGGGCAGTAACGCGTGATCCGATTACTTTTTGCAAGTAACGAGTAAAGTAAGGGATTGCTATTGAAAAAAGTAGTTAGATTATTTACTTTCCCATAAGCATGCCTCGTTGCCGTGTTACTAAACTGTGTTTTTGTTTGTGAGAGTGTCTCATGACAATGACATACAAGTGTGCGACGTTCGTGGCAGCAACAGATCAACAATGGATAATATGGAGTGCAGGAGAGAGTACGACCATGCAGCGTTTAAAGCTTGGAAGTACTCACACTACTTTGAGTTTTAAAAAGTGACAAAAACATTAGTGTTGGCTGTTCACTCTGTGTGGGAAGGAAACCTCTTTCTACAGTGAAAAATTAAATTTCAAATCTGAGCGAGCACCAAGCATGCTGCCACGGGAACGTGACATTCACAGAGAAACCCCCGGATCCCGCCCACTGACATGACTGCTGCGGCACCAGGCAAACCTCCACCTGCTCCACTCCTGCTAAACAGGTGAAAACAGATTTAAAAGCAACAGGACTTAGTGCTGTTGAGTCTTTATTATTTATTTTTTGCAAATTGAGAGGTAAAATGTCTTCAGGAAACTTGAAGTCCTGTTCTTTTCAAGCTCCACTGACTACCAGGATGATGCAATAAAAACTGCATCAAGTGCAATCAGATTGGCGCAATATTATAATAAGAAGGGTCACATTATTTTTAGGTGCTTCCAATTCTTGTCAAGTTCCCTGACATTTCGTCATAAGACGTTTGTGAGCACCAAACGAGTTAATTATGAATCCCATCACTACTGCATTGAGCTTCCCCTGATCACCTCCTGTGTATTTAAGTCCTGTCTTCCTTTGTTCGTTGTCACGTCATCTGGTTTTCCTCCAAGTCTCGTCAGTCATCAGTCTCGTCACAGTTTTTGTAGTTTTCCAGTTTATGTTTTTCAGTTCGCACTTGCCCTGTTCGCCTTTCCTAGTTTTTGTTCATGACAATCAGCCATAATAAAGGCTCATTTTTTGTTGAAAATGTGCAGTTCCTCTCTCAGCGTCTGCTTTTGGGTCCAGTTCACAAACACACCGGCGAACCCTGCCCTCACATCTATCTTTAAACATTGTCTGACATTGTTTGTTTTACATGTTGAACAATTTAGCCAGACTCATCTATCCATTTCATCTGGAGATAAATCAGAAAAGCATATTTATTTAAAATATCAGTTCACACAATCCAGTTGCATTGATGTGTGCATACAATGTTATCACAAGTGACAGAACAGACAGTCAAAACATAAAAATAAGAGAGAAGGTGAAAAAGTCCCAGAATAATTTTACATGGATAGATATTTTTGTTCAGTTTTTGTACTGGTAATGAACTGGGACAGTTTCATGCCCTTTCAACTTCACAAGACGTGCAATAGAGTATTCGGTCATATGCCAAAACATGCTGATTAGGTTTTCTTACTTTTTGGGAGGAACCTGGCCCACATTCACCCGGACACAAATGACTTTGCGGGTTTGCATCCCCACAGAACAGGAGACATCATCTCCACGAGTACGGCCCACAGATGTGTTGGTTGATGGAATGAAAGAGTCCTCGATGCATTGTCCCCATGGACCAGTTTGCCAGTGGTAGACAGTACAGGGATGGTCATTGCACCTTCTCACCTCCTGCAGAGCACTGATGTTTGGACACTGGACTCCACCTGAGGAGCGAAAATTGTAGCACAGTTGTCAGTGGGGTAGTATTAGTGCTGACAAATGACCAGGACACAGGAGTGAGGGTTATGAAATTTTTAAAAAATGAAATTGGAATTGGAATAAAAATGCAAAAATGTTATTACTATTTATCAACATTCAAATTTAATGTCTGAGGTGGAAATGCCAAGGACAGTGGACCAATTGTGAGAGAGGATCTCTAACTAGTTTTTGTTTATGTTTGTTCACTTATGAAGGTCGAGTCAAAAAGAACTAACAAACAAACTGCAGTGACACTCTTTTCAGCACTTTGTCCCAGCTGAGCACCTGACACCTGTGTAGCATCCTGTGTTAGCATATTCAGTCTTACGCTCCTCCAAAAGTGCAACAAACTGTTTGTGATTCCGTGCTCTTGCCCTGATGAAGGGAACTATTCACAACATTAACAAACTACTTCCTTGCTCACAAGTGGTCACTACGGCAGGTTTACAGCTTCCTGACACAACCACCAAGGTTTGTTCACTACTTAGGCAAATGTGTAATCCACTATACTCTAGAGCTACTTAGTGACAACATCAACTACAAAGTTATTTTTTAGTATTGAGTTACACAATGTCTCCTAGGATATAATACAATGCAAAAATACACAGTTCAGTTCTGGGTTCATTTCAGTCACTTTATCCTTAAACTCAACCTTTATTATTTAGAATAGACATTTGTTAAATAAGATACAGAGCATCTCCAACTCAGTGCAAACATGTAGGGGGGAGGGTTAGGGGGGGCACAGTTCTGCTGCGCTACATATATAAAATGTACAAAAATGTACAAATCTGGTGTAAGAAGAAAAAAGTAAGTATGTAAATAAATAGTTTGTTTTGTATATACAGTTTGGGTTATTGCACATATAATTTAGTATTGCACAGTGGTAGTTTATAAAGGGAAATGGGAAAATGGCTGTGTGGGACTGTGTTATTGGTGTGTGTACGAGTTAAGAGTGGTTATGGCCTTGGGGGCACAGGATGAACAGGATGGGAACTGTCTATGATGATATTTGTTGCTCTGCTGAGGCAGCAGGAGGAATAAATTGTCCTCAAACTCAGGCTTCATCCACACGTACACGGGTATTTTTGAAAATGCATATTTTTCTATGTGTTTGGGCCTTTCGTCCACATGTAAACGGCTGATGAGTCACCTCTAGGTGTGGACGAGTAAAACAGAGATTTACACACAGTGGTCCCGCTGTTCATCCGTCACTGCTTCGCTTTTTCGCTGATTTTTTTATTGCACAGTACAGCATTGCATTCTGCAGCCTGATTGACAAATCTCCGTGCTGTGTCTCCTGCGCTTGCCAAATTTATCATGTTTGGTTTTGATAACCATCACGTCCAATAGAATAACAGCACAAAAACACCCATAACTATGACCTTCATTCGGAAATAGACACCTGCACCGCGAGGGAAAAAGGTGCACGAAAGTGGCGGGCAAGACAAAACGCGGCATAATAATACTTAATAATACTGTTTGCAATCTGCAAAGGTTTGTACTTTGAGAATCAAATGTGAGAACTGTGACTAATGTTCATGTGTGTGGGGGAAAAAAGTGTATAAAGTGCGTGGCGAGGGGCTAGTTATTCTGAGACCCACTGCTGCAATAAATGAGGGACCACTGTATATACTTTCTCTATGACTATTGTTTTCAACCTGTTAACATTTAATACTGTATTGATAGAATCGACTGATTCTGCAGCAGAGCATCCCCTGTTGCTTCTCCTGGCTCCCCAGTCCCTCAGCTCCTGCTGCTGCACCCACAGGTATGTAATTGTAGCATCAGATGTACAGCAGCACTGATAGCTTTTTACTCTGTGGGATTCCCTTGTGATCACCTTTACTAAATATCTACAATCTTGGCACACACACCTGTGTGATTGTCTCCACCTGCTGTTGATCTGGCTGATTTCCCCAGCTGCTAATTAAGGCAGTGGCACAGATCAGCTCACCGCTGGAACGTTGAACCTCCTGAGTTCGTGCTCCCGGCATTATCCAAAGAATCCACTGTGTGTATTTTGCTGTGGAACTAACGTTGAAATTCTGTGTGTAGTTATCCCTCTTCTGGACCAAATCACGGGACCTGCCCGGGTGTGGCAGCGTGTGTGGAGTTTCGGAGCGAGTGCGGCTGAAGAGGAGTGCGTGTGTGCGGAGGAGCTGTGGCGGTGACTGTGTGGAAGAGGAAGCGTGTGTGGATCCCCCCCCCCCCTTCTCTCCCTGGAGCCCCCCTCCCAACTCACTGTACATATATATAGCACTGAGGTGATCCCTGTTGTAAATAAATAATCTCCTTTTGTTCTAAAAGAAAGAACTGTCTGCGCGTGAGTCCGTCCAGTAGCCATGACAGTTGTGGTTTGCAGTGTTTTGTGTTGTTTCACTTTAAATTTGTTTAAAAGGAAAAAGCTGAAAATTTAAATAGTTAAAAGTTGAAATGTAAATAGTTGGTTTTTGTATTATGATTTATTTATTACATTTTATGTGGAGTGAATAAATAAAAGTATATTTATGGTGGCCCCTAGAGACAAAGCACGTACAAACTCCAAAACAAAATGGAAGTCCTCCAGGACACTAGGGGACAGTGTTGAGCTTTTGTTACCTAGTGGCTACACAAGCCAGCAAGTACCAACGACCGGATTTGGTGTGTGGTAGTAACAGGTAAATGAACTTTTTTTTTTAAAATATTTGAATATATATGAGTGCTTGTGTATAAATACACAAACAATACACACATGCTTTCGATTGTGTAATCTAAGTGATCTAGGTAGCTCTGTTTTGGAAGTTCAGTTCATGCTAGAAATGTGTTTTGGAGTTTGTACGTGCTTTGTCTCTAGGGGCCACCGTAAATATTTATATTTAAACATATATAAATAAAACCATGTTTATTTGACATTAGTAATTCATTTTGTGCATAATTTTATATTGTTGTTGATAATAAATTAGTTAACCCCTTAGCAGTCCTACAAATTTACAATTAGTCCCCTAAACCATCCAATGTACCGTGGGCGGTACGTCCGACTGCTAACAGGTTAAAGCAACAAAACAACCTGAAGAGCCGGTTGGGAGCCGAAAGAGCCAGTTCTCTAAAAAGATCTGGAAATCCCATCACTACAGCGCAAACGAAGCCAACAGCATGCACTAATTTCATTCTGTGCGTATCAGTTTAGTGAACTTTTTGACACAAGTTTACGTGCGTATATAGGGACCTCTAGAGCCTTCGACCAAGTCATTCCCTTCAACATCTCTAGGGACCGTGGGAGGAAAGCAGTGTCGTGGAAACAACACACTCTTCACTAGTAGGGATACTAACGTTTAATGCACACAAAAGCAAAGAGCATCAGCTTGACAATAAGATGAAATTCAAACCTGAGATTGTTTCAGAAAATATATATTTGAGGAAGTTCAGACTAATCGGTGTATTCAGCATGAGGACATTGTGGCTGTTCCGCCTGAGGACAGCGATTCTGATGCTGCTGACGCTGACTTTCAATTAACAGAATTCAACAAAAACATGGAAGACTTTGAGAAACAGCTGGAACACATTAGTGAAAATGATTTAATGATCTCTAAAACTGCCATGCAAGAGGTTATAGAGCAGTAAAACCAGATTCATTTGCCTTCACAGCCATTGTTTCATTAATCTATTAACAATACTAAATCAATCTGATGACCCCTTAGTGAATGAAATAGTTAAGATAGTTACTGATAATCTGCATTTCTGTAATGCACTTCTAGTGAAGGCTCGTTGTCATATACCAACAAGCGAACATCATACATTTTTAGAGAATTCGCTGTGGCAATGCCTACTGAGTATGTGCTAAGTGAGAGTGACTGAAACACAAATATCTCTTTTCTCAGAATTACTTGAATATAGACCAGCGGATGTTGCTGAGAGTTGTCATCGGTGAAGATGATATTAGAAAGTTAACGATGTGTAAGACACCAGATTGCTGCAGTATCATTTTAAACCACAGTACGAAGATAAAGATTTCAATAATGCCCTCTGCAATTTGACAGAAATAATTGACTTGCCTTAAAGAGGCAAATCAATTATGCTGAAAGAGCAACACTAAAAAAAATCATCCCTCTCATAACTCTTCATCTAACAACTCTTTCATAACCCAACACATGATCAGTCATGCACAGCAAACACTGAAATCGTGTCAACTGTTTGGACATTACGGCTGCTAAGCCATCAGCGGCCGGAGTTCTTTAACCCTTTAAGACCTACCATAGAACCAAGTCCGCGAAAAAATATATTATAGTGCAAATTTGCAAAATAACAGCATATGCATCAAAATAAAATATTTCCAGCAGTGCAATATGAGTCCTAAGCATCCCAGAAACGACACAGAAAGTCATGAAGTCAAACATGACTTGTGACTCTGACAGTGAAGACAGTGAACCTGGAATGTTTGATGGAGATTTAGCGCAGCTGTTCAATTCAGACACAGAGGATGAGGACTTCGATGGGTTTGATTGATGATAAAAATGTGAGTACCAAACTTTGCTCCTGCTTTATTTTTAAATACGCACACTTGTATGCTTGTGTGTTGTTGATGATGACGATTATTGGTAATAGAAATGTGAGTAAGGTACCGAACTCAGGTTTGCTCCCGCTTTATTTTTAAATACGCATACGGTGCTTGTATGCGCCCTATAATCCAGTGCGCCTTATGTGTGTGTTAAATATAGTAATGGCACACATAACTGAGACTGCGCCTTTTAGTACAGTGCGTCTTATGGTCGTGAAAATACGGTAACTGAGACAAAACTTTGGTAACTATGAAAACAGACATGAACATGATTCTGCCCAGGAATGTGTGAGAAACTGTGATGAAGAAAAATGAGAACAAGAAACATGAACACAGCCTGAGTGGAATTATGAACTACATGGGACTTCACGTAACATAGTGGGAGGTAACACAGACAACCTGACCAAGACTGAATGAAACCACACAGACTAA